GACGCCACTCACAAAATCCAAACAGGCGCAAGGAGCCTGGTGCCAGTGGTCAGGTGGTGACCACGCCGGGGCAAGGACGGGCTCGGGAGGCTGCTGCGGTCTGGAAGTCCCATTTCTTGATCGGGGTGAGGATGCTCTGGCCTGTGCCCTTGGGCAGGAGCAGAGGTAGCCCAGAGTGCCGCTTCTTCATTTTAGTTTGTTAGTTTGTTTTTGATACTGGGCTGAACCGTGTTTTCAGCATGGCCTTGAACTCAGCGATCTTCCTGCCTCAGCCTCCCAAGTGCTGAGGCTACAGGCGTGCAGCACCATGCCCGGCTAGAAAGTGCCACATCAAGTTAAGTGAAGAAAAGGAACCACCCAGGCTAGAGCAATGCCAGCACAGATCTTTAACTCAGGCTGTTGAGTGCTGAGCTTGGCTTGACCACTTCCCAGTGGGGACAGGGTACTGAACCTCTCTGTGCCTCGGTTTCTCCACCTGAACATGGGGGTGCTGATGGCCACTGCGACAATCGGATGTGCCTGGCCTTAGCAGACCCCAGGCGAGGCCTTGACCCTGCTGCTCCCCATGCCTGCCAGCTCCGTGGGCAGAGGGCATGGTACCCACAAGGCGAGGTCGGGTTCCCCGCCGCCTCCGGCTCAACCCAGGCTCAGATTCATGAAGGCGCAGGTCCACCTCGGAGGAGGGGAAGGAGGAGGAGGAAGGCGCATGGTGCGGAGATGGCCGGCCAGAGTGCTGGGGGACCAGCCAGCAGCAGAGGAGGGAGGTGAGGTGTTGGGGAGGAGGTTGGGATGTTGCTTCCGGCCCGGCCTGGCTCAGGCACAGCATCAGCGGGAAGGACCAGGCCCAGAGGGAAAGGCTCAGGATGGGAAGCCAGCACGGAGGGGACAGCAGTGGCTCAGGATGCATGAGCGCTGCCCAAGTGGAGAAGGAAGAGGCAGATGACAGGGTACTCTGGGCTGCGGTGTAGACAGAGGGGAGCAGAGGCCCCATCTCCTCGGTGGGTCGCAGGGAGAGGGATGACTCCTGTCTGGAAGAGGATGGGGGCATGGCACCGCACATCTGTCATGCCAGCACTCTGAGAGGCTGAGGCAGGAGGATCGCGCGTTCCAGCCCATCCTAGGCAACTTCACGGCTTAGTGAGACCCTGCCTCAAAATAAAAAAATGAAAAAGGCTCAGACGGAGCCATCGCAAAGGTCCTGGGTTCAATCCTCAGTACTCCAAAGAAAAAAACAGAAGGGGCAGTGGGGTGGGTGGGGCATCCGGAGGAGCAGGTGTGGCTGAGCGGGAGGCTGGGGTCCGAGCTGTGGAGGGTTAGAGGAGTCTCCCCAGCTGCGCCTTCGTCCAGCATTTAAGTCTTCATTCACTTGGATCCTCGCCAGACGCAGGAAGGACAATTCCGCTTTTTCTTGTCGGGCTCTCTGCCTGTACCCGCCGGCCCCTCACCACTACCCGAGCAGAGATAGACGCGCCCAGGGCCAGAGTTTTAGAGAAACCTCTGCTCCTGCTGGAGCCATGTCCTGCTTCTCCAACTGTGACCCCGGGCGGGCAGCGGCAGCAGACTGGCCTGGGCCTGCGAGAAGCACAAATTCTTTGGCTGCCATCAAATCAAGTAACAAACAATGCTGGCGAGGCTGCAGGGGTGAAAAGGAGGCTTCCCCGTGGCCCGCGGGAGTGTGCACTAGCACAGCCACTACGCAGCTGCGGGGATCCCTCGCAACACGGAAATTAGAAACTCCGTCCTCCAGCTGTTCTCCTTCTAGGCATTTTCCTCAGCGTTAAAGGCACCGTATCCCAGGGACCCATGCACACCCGTTTATAGCAGCACAGCCCCTAAGAACTCAGTCTTGGAAGCAGCCCCTGTGCCCATCAGCACATGACCAGAGAAAGAAAATGTGGCGTTAGCATACTATGGAGCACTGAAGAAGGACACGCGGGAGCCACCTGTGCGAAAGGGCTGCATCTTGATGCCATAACGCTAAGTCAGACACGAGTTAAATACCATGTTTTCTCTCATGTGAAAAACCCAAAGCCTAAATGGAGAAAAATAAAAGATAGGTAACAGGAAACAGGGAGACAGATCTTTCACAAGATGAAGACCGTCGCGTCCACGTACTGACCAAGTCACACAGGGATGTGATGGTCCCATACTGTAAACACGGATAATTCTGAAGAATACGTTACTACAAAGCACAAAGCCATGCAGAGGCTCAAGGCCCCCCCCCAGTCGCCCCCAGACCAAGTCCCGTGCCGATCTTTATGTTTCTTGGGCAGTGCAGCACAAAGTGACCACATTCTGGGGGACCGGTCCGAGCGTGGCCCCTCTGCGTTCTCCCTGGAATTCCTGAGCACCCGCTCCAGGCCAACTCCGTGCCACTCAGTTATACTCTGGACAGCAAAGGAAACTGAGAAGCAGCACTTTTTGTCAAAACTGCTTTCCCAGCCTTCTGCGTGAGCCAGGCCAGGTCAGGAGGCAAAGCTTCGCGTGAAACTGGACTAGGGAAGCACGGCTGTGGAGCCTTCACCTGGATGAGGTGGTAATTGCTGTACCACACTGCCTGCGGCCAGTGCGCCAGTACACACTCCGAGACCCAGCGCTGGGGAGGCTGAGGCAGGAGGAGTGCGAGTTTGCAGCTGGCCTGGGCTACACAGAGAGACATTCGTCTCCATAAAACTGGACCACTGGGCCTGAGCATGATGCACTCCCCGCCCCACCTAGAACCTGGGTCTGCCTGCAGGACCCATCCCCTGCTCCACTGCACCCCCTGGTGGGCTCAGTGCCCTGGGGCTCGGGCAGGGGCAGCCTTCCTGTCTTTAACCTTGTATAGGAGGAGCCTGCAGGAGCCCGGAGCTCAGTGGGCCCCATGTTGTGCCAACCTCACCCTCCCCAGAGACCTCCCCCTTCCTGAGGTAGGGAAGAAGAAAAAAGTAGAAAGAGGGCTGGGGATTTAGCTGAGTGCCGCTGCCTGCCTCACAAGCCCAAGGTCCCAAGTTCGACCCCAGTTACAAAAAAGCCACACACAAAAAAAAGACAAGGAAACCAGGATTTTAAAATTGTACTTTTAAGACAAACCGCAGCTTCAGGACACAAAAGCCAAGTGAGCCCTTTCCCCTTCCAAGAAACTCTCGAGCGTTCCTAAAGGTCTAGGTGAAACAGTAGCTGGGGCTCTGGGCCTCTCTCCTGCAAACCGCTTTCCCCACCCTCACAGAAGCAGCGGTACCCGCGGGCAGCAGAGCTCAGCCCCAAACTCCTCCGGGTGCTCACATTCTGCCCAGGTGGGTGACCTGGCGGTCAGAACACACACCCCAGGTCACCCCCTCGGAGGCACCCAGGGCCCGTAACTATCCCGGCCGCGGATCACCGTGGGTCTCTCCTCTGGACGCCCGCACTCCACGCCACCTCTCTGCCTAGTGCAGCCCACGCTGGCCCCTGGCTGACGCCCCTGGAACTGTTTCTGCAGCAGGAGGCGGCCAGCCTGTGAACGCTGTTCCTCATCTTTCAGACCCAGCCTAGTGACATTTCAACCCTCACAAATGTCCTGTGTGTTAGCGTTATCATCATAACCATCATCTTCTTCACCGTCACCACCTCCACCACCACTACCCCTGGTGACTTTCCCCAGCCACGTGGTAATTGGCACTCACAGTCCTGCCTGGGGGACTTCTCTCCTGGTGGTTTCTTCAGTAACTTGCACCGATCCTTTGTCCAAAGGGCAGATCCACCAGCCACTTCCCAAGGGTTCCCAGAACTACCCATAGGTCTTTGAAACCTGTCCCAATCACTGCCCAGCTCTGGCACCGCAGGCCACTGCTACCCCACCCCCACTACTGCAGGCTACTGCACCTGGTTCTCAACGCCTGCCAACTTCCACAACTATCTCAAGTGGACGGTAGGACCCGAGGACAGGATCCCGGTGCTCAGCAGAAGTCTGAGCACAGCATGGTGGTGAACACCTGTAATCTCAGCAGTCAGGAGGCTGAGGCAGGAGGACACTGCGAGTTTGAGGCCAGTCTGGGCTACATGGTGAGTTCAAGCACAGCCTTGAATACACAGCAAGACCCTATCTCAAAGAAGAAAAAAAAAGCTGAACGAATAAATGAGCAGACACATGAGCTAGACTGAATTATAACTGTTACTTAGGGTAAAATGGATCTTAAACTTCCCCATCATTAGGGATTTATTTTCAGCCCTTTATGATTACTTACCTGACACGTGTATATTTCCCACCATATTAAATGACAACCTGTTAAAGCTGCTCCAGCCTGCACTTAGGGACTCCAGAAATTACAGCAGGAGGACAATATTCCCAATGTGACTGTGAGGCCCAAAAGCCAGAACGTAACTTCCTCCAGTCGCGGGCACCCTCAGTGATCACAGAAGTAATGAGGAAGCATATTTAGCCACTCCTGGGCGCCCGGATGACTGAAAACTAAAACTATTCTGAAGTAAAAATTTAAAATGACTTTAAAGTGTAAACAGCAGCAACGCGAAGGGCCCGCCCTGATTTACAAACTGGAAAAGCACCACACTCTGCTGAGAAGTCCTAAGGATAAGACTCCCTGGGGCTCCAGGAGACA